AGAGATAACTAAATGGCCTTTATTCGAAGTTTCTCAAGAACCATTCGAGCCAGACAATTCGTTTTGGCATCGTTGGATAGAGAATTGCCTGGATCCGCCCTTGCCTCCGGGGCAGATTAAATAGTGTCCCCTCCACTTCCAATATCATCATCTTTATCTAGCAAATCGATTTCCATATTCCTCTTTCCACCCAGGTCAAGTCCTACGTGGAAGAGCACATTGACTTGTGCCATCCGGAGCGGGTGCATATTTGCGATGGCACCGACCACGAAAACAGCCACCTGATCCAACTGATGCAGCAGCAGGGCACGATCGTACCATTGCCCAAGTACGAAAACTGGTAAGTTTCGCCGAGTTCCCATCAACTGCTTCGGGTTATCCTCTTTTGAACGTTGCAGCTGGTTGGCCCGGACGAACCCCGCAGATACAGCGCGTGTGGAGTCCAAAACGTTCATCTGTACGGAGAATCGCTCCGAAACCATCCCCAGAGTCCAAGAGGGCGTCAAGGGGACTTTGGGCAACTGGATTGCCCCCCAGCAGATGCAAGAAGCCATCAAGGAGCGGTTCACTGGTTGGAATCCCCCAAAGTTCGTTTGCACTTCTTTTAAACAGCCAATGTTTTTCAGGATGCATGCGAGGTCGTACCATGTACGTAGTGCCATTTTTCATGGGTCCCGTGGTGTCTCCCTTATCGAAAATCGGCATCGAACTCACTGACTCCCCTTACGTGGTGGCGTCGATGCGAATCATGACCAGGATGGGGTAAGATGCCCATGTTCTAACATGCACAAACTCCAACTGTTGCACATCTAGAAACCTGGTGCTGAAGAAGCTGCAAGAGGCGGAGGAGTTCGTCAAATGCCTCCACTCGGTCGGCACCCCCGCTAATGGTGTTGTGGAGGTGCCCAGCTGGCCTTGCGATCCCGAAAGAACCATAATCCTGCACAAACCCGCCGAAAACGAGATCGTTTCCTATGGAAGCGGCTACGGGGGCAACTCCCTACTAGGCAAGAAGTGCTTTGCCTTAAGAATCGGCTCCACCATTGCCAAAAGGGAGGGCTGGCTAGCTGAGCACATGCTGGTAAGATTTCAACTCCGTTTACCAGCCATTTTTACCTTGTTTAAACCCCTTGCAGATTCTGGGCATCACAAATCCGCAGGGCAAAAAGCGCTACATCGCAGCAGCTTTTCCTTCGGCGTGTGGCAAAACCAACCTGGCCATGATGACCCCCAGCTTGCCTGGGTTCAAGGTGGAGTGCGTTGGGGACGACATCGCCTGGATGCGCTTCGACCAGCATGGCCAGTTAAGGGCGATCAATCCAGAAAACGGGTTCTTTGGGGTCGCCCCGGGCACCTCCACCAAGAGCAACCCGATCGCCATGAAGACGATCTTCAGCAACACGCTCTTCACCAATGTGGCCTCCACCAGTGACGGCGGCGTCTTTTGGGAGGGCATGGAGGATGAGCTCCAATCCGGAGTTGCCATTACGGACTGGAGGGGGCAGAAATGGAGCAAGGAGAGCAAATCGCCGGCGGCCCATCCCAATTCCAGGTAGCTAGTCGATCGCGCTGTTGCAAACTCGGGCAGTTCTAAAGCTTTTTTGGAATTGGTAGGTTCTGCACACCGGCCAATCAGTGCCCCATAATCGACCCGCAATGGGAGGCCCCTGAAGGTGTCCCTATTTCCGCCATACTCTTCGGGGGGCGCAGGCCCGCTGGGGTTCCTTTAGTTTACCAGGCCCGAAGCTGGGAGCACGGCGTGTTTATTGGGGCTGCAATGCGCTCTGAAGCCACCGCTGCTGCTGAACATAAGGCAAGTTCACTTTGAGTCCACTCTCATTCTCGCCTGCTGCCTTCTTCCGATCAGTTAAAGAGAAAATCTTCTCAATCTTAACACCTTCCAGGGCAAGATGATAATGCACGACCCATTCGCTATGCGCCCATTCTTCGGCTACAATTTCGGTGACTACCTGCAGCACTGGCTCTCCATGGAGAAGCGCTCCCAGAACCTGCCGAAAATCTTCCACGTGAACTGGTTCCGCAAAGGCGACGACGGCAGGTTCCTGTGGCCCGGATTCGGCGAGAATTCCCGGGTTTTGGACTGGATTTTAAGGCGATTGGATGGCGAAGAATGCGCTGTGGAGACCGCCATCGGCTTTATCCCGAAGGAGGGCGCCCTGAACCTGCAAGGGATGCAGGAAAAGGTGCGCTGGAATGAACTGTTCGGGCTGTCCAAGGAGTTTTGGGCGGCAGAAGCGCTGGCTATTGAGAAGTACTTCAATGAGCAAGTGGGGCAGGACCTGCCCGCGCCAGTGGCGCAACAGCTTAAAGATCTGAAGCGAAGAGCGGAAGCTATGTAGACCGACGTCCTTACTAAGTTTTAAGTTATTTTTATATGATATCTACTCTAATAAGTGCATGTCGCGGGTGTTAAGAGACCTTAATAATTGATAAAGAGTTAATGCCTAAAGAGAGGTTTTTTTGGACTAAAGAACGTGTAATACATACTGCGCAAAACGAATGTAATCAAGCAGCATCCGAGTGAACACTTTGCCGTCCTGCCAAGGCCTCATAGGCCTCCTTCAATATCCTCTGCCTCCAAACCGCATACTCTTCCACCTCATCCGGCGCCACCTCTTTAACCGGCTCGCATTCGCCTGCAAACGCACCATTTAGACCAGCACCAAAACTCTATCCTACTCTTACCCATTTCGCTCACGATTTCCGCTTCTAGACCTTTCCCCAACTGCCTGCCGTTACTTATCTCCAAGTTCTTAAAACTACTGAGCAACTCCTTCCATTGAGAAGGTTTAATCCTGCTCATGGCCACAATTTTTTGTTTGTCAATTGATAGCTTTTTGGCCCTAAAAGTGCGGATGTAATAGTAAAGCAGTACGTTCTGCATCAGTCCCCTTGACCCACCTGGAGGCCAAAAACACTGCGGCTGCAGCATACTGCGGATGTTCCCAATCCTCCAGACCGTCCCGTTGTTGCTTATAGGCGCTCAGGATGTCTTCAGCGTCGTCTTTGACTGCTGTGCAGCTCAACTGAACACAGGCCTCTGATACCGTCAACACCTTGTTGAGGCCTAGGATTTGCTCAAGGGTGTTCAAGCTCTTTTGGTAGGCTGACTTTTTGAGGCCGCTCAACGCTAGGGCGGCGTCCTGCAAACAAAGCGGGCTGCTAATTTAGGTTCGGTGGCGAAGCGTTGTAAAAACACCTTCTCAAAGCTCACGCCTAAGCACTGGGAAGCCAAGTCGAGGCATAATACTGATTTTGCTTGATTGTTCAGGGACTTGATGGAGGATTTTGCCTGAAGCAGGCGCAGCAGCTCTTCGGTTTTTCTGCAAATAATTGGGATTAGCTGTGTTCTCGAATTGCATATAGAGTTTCTTTTGAAAAGGTTTCGTGGATTTCCACATCAATTTCCTTAAAGATCGGCCCCACTTAAGCCCCAGAGCTTTTCACCCCCAGCTGCCGATGTAGGCATGATAGGAAAACTACCTTAGAACAGAGTCTTCGTACACGTTGAGGGCTTCGGCGATGTTTTTCAGCATCTGTTTATCCATTTTGGCAGGATTTTCTTTTACAATTTCCCCGCAGCAAAGCAAAACTAGAATATTGAGGTTAAACGAGTTTGAATTTGACGTTGAACTATTGGGAATCTGTGTGCCAAGTGTTAAGGTTCGATGCGTTGCCCGCAGATGGCGGCACGTCCAAGAGCACTTCTGCTGTGAAATAGACCACCCGAACCAACGCACTTTCAATTCGCAAGGGTGCAAACCGAATTGAAAGCCATTAACAAAAAATTTTAAAACAACGTTTTTTTGCCGCCAAAAATCCGGTTCTAAATGAGTGCAAAGTCCGATTAAGTGTTTTATTTGGTAATGTTTGAAAAGTTCCGCGACTTCCTTCGACACGTGGTAACCTCAGCAGCAGCTGCGAACTGATCAATATGCGGTCGCTTTAGAGAGATCGACCGGTCGGCAGGAACGTGCAGGTATCTTTGAGGTCTCGGACACACTACACGGATGAAAGAACATTCGATGATTGCTAATTTTAAAAATCGCTGCGCTCTTAAAACACCCGTTTTATTCCACCAAAACCCCTAAGCAACTGAAATCCCTGCCGCCTGGGGAGAAACGACTCTGTGTGCAGACAAAGATTATATAATAAGTGCCACCATCGAGCCATTGACAAGAGGCGGAGCAGATTGGACCGGAGGCTGCAGCATCTTTGCTACTGGTCCGGAACGGCGGCAAATAAGAAGAACCGAGGGGCCGCCTTTCACTCGCCAATCGGAATGGAGGGCGACTAATGAAACAGAACAGAAGACCGTCGCAGCCGAAAATTCCGCTCGTTTTGTTCAAACTCTCTGATGTAACTTGGGGGGGAATTGGAAAAGAGGCCATTGATTATTCAGCGTGTGGCATCATCAGAAAATAAAAGAGCAGCAAAATCGGTTCTGCCTCGCATACTAATCGGTTGAGAAGTTTGAAGACCCTGCTCGATCGGTGGGCGAATCAAGGCTGCAGGAGAAAAACATGCAAACGATGTCGGTGTGCAACTTTTCCCATTTTTTCCACTAAATTTTGCGGCTTTTTAGTCAAATTCTTTAATTGCACACCCTGTTAAAGACACGCAAACACAGCGTTTGCTACTCTTTGACTCTGCCATCTGGGTATAGTTTAGCAACACTTTTGCGGCAACGTTGCCTGAAGTTTTTCGTGCAATTTAACGGAAAAATTGGCGGATTTGAAGTTGTTTCAAACCCCCCCGGGTAAAACCCGGGGAAATTCTTGAGTGACTCGAGAAATGAGTCAAATTTATACCAGAAAAATGCACCGCAAAAACCGGAGAAAACTTTTCAGAAACTGTCCAGCAAGTAGAAATAGAATAGAAGAACTGGCTCATCATTGGTTACTTAATTGAAAAAAAATTCTGAACGTTTTACTCTTTGTGATCAGTACTCGTTTGATGGGATTTCTGAGTCACTGATCGATCAATACACCGATCTGAGGCATATTTGGACGCAATTAATTGATGTGGGAGCAGATAATGCGGCTTTGTATGGCGACGATGTCGCCAGCACGACACAAAAGGACTGAAAACCTATTGTGTGTCCAGAAGGATGATTTATGGGGAAGCCGTGGCAAATCAGGTTGGGCCAATAACTCCATTGCTCTCATGGCGAAGAGATGGTTTAGATGACAAAGCGTCCGCACCAATTCCGTAGTCCGAAGACAGCATTTCCTCTTCCTGGTCTAGGCTGGTCTATTCCCGACTGACTAGACAAGATAACAGATTTAACTGCTAAGAGCGCCAAGCCGCTCTGATGTGAATAACTTTCTGGGCAGGAAACTGAAGACCCAGACGGCTCGAAGATCGAGGAAGAAGACATGCCCGCTGCTGTACCGCAGCACCGACTAGACGAATAATTATTATTGAAACTTAATCGCAGCGAATGCTTCTGGCTGTTGAAGATCTAGTGCCAAGGCCCTGTCTCGACTAACGGCCACGATGGCGTCTGCAGAACTGTGCAACTGGGTAAATGAGCCAATTAATCGTCGCAATCGTCATTTCCTCAAAATTATTGAATTAGCTGAAGAGCGAATGTTGAAAAAATGCCCTGCTGTCATCAAGCACATAGCGCGTCCACGCCCAACGGACACGTTACAACATGCATGTAATACTTTAGCTGGGACAATCTTTTTACCTGCTGGTTAATGTGCGGCTGGACGGTTTGATTTAATTTTCTTCAGGGCCGTACCGATTAAGAAAAAGGGATATTTTAGTGCCAGTCGCGCACCAACCAGTAGAAGAAATGGACTGATTGATGCACGTTTGAAGCCCCGAAAATTTTGAAGCTATTTCCAGTTTCTTCGGTATAGGGTGTTGTTATCATTGTATCAAAAATTCCTACAAACTGAACATTAATTTATGGAAATATATATATATGAAAGATTAATTAGGTTTATACTGTCTATCTATTGCTATTTTGTTAAATATTTAATAAGCAAATTCAGCTAAAATCCAAATTATTCATCAATCTCCCAAACGCAAACCTATTGGTTGTGACGTCTCTGGTCATATAAATGGCGGATTGTTTACGTTCTGTGCCTAGTGTTTAGTTGTGTGGTTGTGCTTCATTAATTATTTTGTGAATTTAAATAATTTATAGTTTGTGTTAGACTTAAAAATGGCTTCAGAAGGATTCCTTAAAGCGTCAACAAACAATTTACTTGTCTCTAAAAATGTATAACTCCTATCCTGAGCAAAGTAAAAGGTTCAAATTTTGAAAACCTGTAGAAGATACCAAGCGCTCAATGCATACAAAGTTTAATTGAATTCCCGTCAGCCATTGAATTTCGGCAAATTTTCCAATTTTGCTATCAAAAGTGGTTTTTCAACATTGTGCATTCTTATTCCAAAAAATTACTAAATCTTACCCCGACCGAGATGAAAAACTCAAATTTCAAGCGCTTTAAACACAAAGTTTCACTCAAAAGTCGGAAACTATTGGATTTAGCAAAATTTTTCAAATGTGATACCTAAGAAGTGATTTTCCTAAATTAAGCACGCGCGTCTTCAAAAAGTCAAAAACTCCTAAACCTCGAAAGCTAGAAAACCGAAATTTAGAAGAACTAAAGCGACTCGAGCTCATTTATGCACAGAACTGGAACTGATTTCCAGATTTGATTAAGTTGTGCAAAAATTCCCAAGTTTCCTTGAAAAAGCGATGATGCAAAATTGAGCAAAACCCCTTCTAAAATTCATAACTTCTGCTCCGCATAAGATAAAAGGCTGAAATTTCAAAAGTTTATAGAAGATGTCCATTCTTGAGTGGACACAAAAATCGGAATTGATCAGATAGCGAACTTTTGCACGTTTATGGTAAAAGGCTCGACTAGTGTCCAGACGCCTATGGAAGTGTGCAAATTTTAAAAGTTTGTCTTAAAAACGAGTTTCTTCCAGTTGAACAAACCTAAAAATGCATAATTTTTCTCGAGTGGGAGCTGTCTGAGCAATTAAAGTTTCCTGTCAATGTCAATAGCCACGTCAATTCCGTGCATTCTGCTACTGTGACGCGCCTGTCAACATTACCAGTGTCACTTTGTTATGAGATTTTCCATTTTTACRCGTTKACATACGCTGCGAAAAGTCAAATTAGTCGTTGTCGCGTGACARTTGAGACCTGTCARACTWGTTTATTTATTGGAGYGATGACATTTATAACATAAAACAATACTTAKGTGACAGTGACRCGKGACAACMTGTCAACMAAACAAGTGTCAAMTTACTACTTAACTTGTAGTTATAATTTSWGCCAYCGGRAGGCGTCTGGASTTTTGAACTCGCGTATTCTTCGCCAATTTTCTYAAATTTCCTTTYCTTAATCKCATCAAATATCTTTGCCTTMAAYTCGGCAATTTTTGGATTTGRGACAAACAATCGCATCTYTTTCTTCAGCATTTTAATCAGWTTTKAAATAATTTTTTAATTTGATWAACCGTGTTTCTAAAAAAATACTTTTTAAGCWACACAAGAATSAGCATCATTATTATATATGGTCATCACTGTATAAAAACAAAATATTCTGGGCAGTTCTAATGTCATTTTAACAGATTTTTTATTTGTTATTAATTAAACTATTAATTCAAGTTACCTAAATTGGGACACCCTGGACATTTTCTATATAAATCGACTGTTGCGAAAGACATTTTTCGTCCCATCTGGTCTCTCTCAGTGAAAATTATTTCGCAAAATTCGAATGCAAACAAAGGTTTCACTGAGTTGCAAGCACAAGATAGAAAAACTGAAAAGAAAATAGATGAAACAAGAGTAAAAACATACAAACGTATGTGTATACATTTTTATGAAATGATGGGATTCTGATGATGAACCAGCATTCTGCTTTTGAAGCCTCGTTTCACGCATGCACATTTTCTGTTTTGATTATAGATTTATATTCGGTTTCTTCATTCTTCCAACTTCTCCAAATGATTGGAACTATTAGTGTACAATTTTTAACTTTTTCAGAAACTTTGCTGAAAAGTCAGCTCCGCATGTTATTTACGAGTTTCAGTGCCTTTTCAAGCATTTTCAGAATGCAATCGGAAGATTAAAGCCCCAATTCACCTGAGCTCCTGTTTAAGTGTTTGGAAATTGTAAGTCGGCTGAAAATTGAACACTTTTAGCCATAAATTTCAGAAATCCAAAACATCAATTTTCTAGATGAAAATCTTGTCGTTTTCCCGCAGTTGGAAGATTCTAAATCGGCCAAAAACTAAAAATACGCCCGATTGTCGCTCCGTTATTTGCACGAATGTGAACGAACGCATTTGAAAGACTTTTGGCTCATTAATTTTTTTTATTTAAAATTTGTAAAAACTGAGTTCGTCCTTCCAAGCAAATCAGTGGTTTTGGATCCAAATTCTCAACTTATCTTATCAGATAAATCCGCTTGTTGCTCCGTAATCTTGAGCAATTTTCGGCCTTCTGAAACTGTTAGACTCAAAACGCTTTAATTCAGCCGAATTTAAGGGTGTCAAAGCAGCAGCGTAAGTAAAAATCCGTAAATTCATTATTAGTTTCTCTCTCCTTAATATACTAATCTCTAATAATTAATATACTAATCTACTAAAATGATCCTCGCAACAAAAAAACGTTGATTTTGATT